TATGATCATCATTTGAAAACAGCCCATTCTAGTGTGCACTTTTACCTGTGGATTATTATGAAGATGATTTCCTCCTAAACTGAACTGTTAAACTGAAGCATTTATTTTATACAATGGTAGTGTTAGTTTAAATAGGATTTTGATAATTAATGTCTTTAAGAAATACAGTAATGGATTATAAAAGAGGTTAGTTTACTGGAGAAATTAACATAGGTAAAGGTAGGATAAAATGTGGCCTGTGCCTCTGATAAAGCAGAGGCTGCAGAGGATAATAAAACAAGGAAGTGTCATAGAGCTAGAACACATGAGTTTCTACTAAGGAGCCTTATAGACTGTGGCTTAGGTTAATAATTAAGTAAAGCAACTGACTGGACTCCTGGGTCTCAGCCTGGTGCTTGGCTGTGGATCTCTGCATCTGTTTTACTGGATGAAGGCTCTATGATGACAGTTAGGGTATTCACCAATCTGATTATCAGGGTAAGCAAGCTCAGGCACTCAGGAGTCCAGTTGAAGAGAGGGAAGAGGGATTCTATGAGCAAAGGGCATCAAGATTATGATGGGGAAACCTATAGAGTCAACCAAAACAAGCTAGTGGGAACTTATGAACTTTAGACCAACAGTGTGGAGACTCCATGGGACTTGACTAGGCCCTCTGCATAAGTGAGACAGTTGTGTAGCTTGATCTGCTTAAGGGATCCCCTGGCAGTAGGATCAGGATCCATCTCTGGTGCATGAGCTGGCTTTTTGGAGCCCATTACCTATGGTGGGACACCTTGCACAGTCTTGATGCAAGGGGAGGGCCTTGGACCTCCCTCAACTGAATGTACTAGCCCCTGATGACTCCCCATGGGAGGCCTTACACTTTTGGAGGAGGGAATAGGGATGGGTTGGGGGAGGAGGCTGGGGGGGGGTAGGAGGAGAAAGGAGAGGGGAAATCTGTGATTGGTATGTAAAATGAATAAAAAATTACTTAATGTAAAAAAAGGAAGAAAAACAATGGAGTCCCAGTAGCCCAGCTAACTTAAATATTTTTAATCTTAATATAGAGAGATGTGTTCACAGATTTCAGAGTGCATCATAGCTGAAACAAAGCTTTCAAAATAACTTAATGTTAGGCTAAGATATTTTTGACAAATAGCTTTGAGGTGAACAGCCCAAGAAGACAATCCAAAGTTTTAGAAAGGCTTATAGCTAAGTGAGGGACCTATTAAGGTCAGGTAATAAGAAGAAAGCAATCCAATTATTATTAGCTGACAAACCTTTCTTACTATGATTGATTGGTGAGCAAAGATGATGATTAATTCTTTGTGCCCATTTCTACCCTCAGCTTCCTGAAATAAAAAACTGTTGATGAGTGGTTATGCACCCTGAGGATTTAAAATAGAGCTGACTGATTCTTTTTAACATATAAAAGTTTAGGTTTGTGATTCTTTTAAAATTCCTTAAAAGATTACCTTTCATGATATATAATAAAATGATTGATTTTTTTTCTTTGTAACCATAATATGAAGCCTGCCAGTAAAAGAACTGGCTGAGTAAAATAACCTGATTCCTCATAATCTGTTAATCTATAATACATTCCTTAGATGTAAATGTATGTGGGTTCTTGGGATAACTTTGTTTAATCATATATGGGAAATGAAAAATATGTTTTTTACCCTGTATTCATTACAATCACTCACCTGAAAACAGAATGTAACCACACGGTAATTTTTATATTTTCTGAAAGATTTTGTTGGGATATAAAAGCTGTAGAGAGAAAAAAATAAATGATTAGAATACAAAATGTATCAGAAGGAAATCATCAGGACTGTGTGCGTCTTTTTCCTTACTCCCTCAGGTCCTAGTTCACCAGCTCCATTCGATCCCCATCAAGCGCTGAGTTGCTGGAGGCTGGTCCTCATGGCAGCAGTATGAATTATCACAAATAAATACAAACAAAACATTTACTCCACCAAGGCTGTAGAGAGAAAAAATGACAAACATGAAAAGACATTCAGTTCCCTAAATGGACCTCACCAAAGAAGGACCTTTCCATGTCATAGATCACATCTATTAGGTAAAAAAATACAGAGACAGGAATCAAACTCAAAAGATATAATAGAAAATTTCCAAAGACAAACACAAGAGAGTGACAGCTGAACTCTCATTGCATAATGTAAAGGCCAGAAAAGCATGGAACAATATATTTCAGGTCCCGACCATAGGTAATTGTTAAATAAGTTAATTATATCCAGCAACATTGCATTTTTTTTGGCTTTTTGAAACAGGGTTTTTCTGTGCAGTTTTGGTGCCTGTCCTGGATCTCACTCTGTAGACCAGGCTGGCCTTGAACTCACAGAGATCTGCCTGGCTCTGGCTCCTGAGTGCTGGGATTAAAGGCATGCACCACTGCCACCCGGCTGTATTTTAAATAAGGTGAAATTAGATTTCAAGTAAATCACCAGCTAAAGAAGTTCATGACCATAAAGAAAGCACTGCAGAAGATACTGTAAAAATGCTATGCACATAGAGCAAGAGTGCCTCAATCATGAGAGCACAGGCAAACTATTAACATCAGGAGAGGGATGGATGAACAGTGGTGGTCAGGACAAGGCATATCAGTTTGTCCAACAGTGTAAGCAAAAAAATTCCAGTGTAGTTGAGGAGTAGGGAAAAAGGAAACAACAATCTAATCTACTAAGAAATCAAAACAGAATTATAAAAGTAAATGGACATTTCCTTATAACCTTATATGACCTCAATTCAGTAATAAAGATACACATATTGTTGGACTAGGTTAAGAAACTATACCCAACTGTCTGTTTTCTCCAGGAAATATGCCTAACTGGTAATGACACATGGGTACTGACA